AAAACGTGTCCACAGCGCTTTTCTACCTCAGTTGGTCTCAGTTTCACTGGTTGGACTGGAGCAAAGGAGCAAAAACGCTCAGCTTCTTCACGAGGTGGCCCGCATGGCGCAGATGAACAAGCCCTGCTTCCACGCCATCAAGAACCACGCGGTGAAGCCGGTGGCGACCTCAAGCCCGGGAAGGGGGATCCATTTGTTCAAGTTGTATGCCACCAGGCGATGCATTTTATGCCAGGAGCACCCTTGAAGCCCATCCAAAATTGTTTGATTTTGGATGCAAATGTGGTTTCGTGATAACACCGAAGTGTTTGATGGCAGGGATATCCGCGACAAAAAAGTTCGGTGGACATGAATCCCCATGTGAACGACGTCCTTGAAAGGATCGAATATCGAACATTGGGCAATAATGCCCCCAAACTGTTCACCCAGGCGTGACTGGGATGGGCATCAACCCTTTTGTAGGGTTTTGCACAGCCAGGCTTCTTTGGTGGATTCTATGACCATGACCCATGCGCAAAGACTTCTTGCCGTGGCGCACATCTTCTCTCATATGAAGTGGAATTTGATTTGGGATGCCACCAGGAAATGGCAATTGTCGTGGAATCCACACCTGTGGCTTTACCACTCAGCGATGTTCGTTGGTGTCTCGGTGATGGATCCCACATGGGGGCCATGCTCTGGTGGTTTGAAGTATATCCTCCTTGTAGATCGAAAGGGTAAGCATGGCCACGGTTGAAGCATATCCTTGTTGATGCTTTGGTCATGCTCATGGTGCTCAAGTATGCAACGCAATCACTTTGTATCTAGAATCTACAGCTGCCCATACATACCGTAATACATATATTATGATGTCACAACAGTAGGGCTAAACTCCAAGAATGTGGTCAGTTCGTATGCTTGACCTGCGGATGGTTCGATGGAATCCAGCCGAACTCCACAGGGGTGTTCATGACGCCAGCCCTTCGGAAAGCGTCTGGATCCACCTTGCCGCATTCCTCCCCCCGGCAAGTGTTTTTGGCGATTTGACATTTTGGAACACCACCATTTCTGACCAAGGACGGCACCAAGCCAACGTTGATTTTTGTGTCTTCCAGGCAGGGAGTCATTGCGCGGGCACTTGCGGCAGGCAGCGAGCAATCAGTACCATGCCACAGAGACATTCCAGATGAATGTATCCTGTCTATTCGAGTTGTTTGCGCTATCCATTTGTTTTCAATCAGTTCAGATTGCCCTGAATCAATGAAGCCCCATTATGGCACGCAGCTAAGATAAGGCACTTCCTTCCGGATATGTGGCATGCAGTGTTGATGCCTCAGGCGGCAGACGCGCCTCACTGCCCTGGACATTGTTGCATTCATGTCCAGAGCCCAGTGACTGGTCACACAGATGACAGCAGCTCAAAGTGGGATATTTGAATTGGCCTCTATGTGCGTGTGATCGCTCTGCAAGTGGTGGGTTCTCCGGTTGTTTGCGTTTTACCTGGAGTCTGGGAAGAGTACGACTTTTGTGGGGCGGGTTATGTTGCCGTAGGGAGCAGCTCTTCCGAGAAGTCGGAAAGCGCTGCTTAGCGAAGGCTAGCTGAGCGCAACCAGAATCTGAGAAATAGCGTATGTGTTGAGATTCCTGTATTTGAGATGCATGCTACACACTGCCCTTGGCCATAAGACAAAGCAACAGCCTGCCCTAGGCTGCATTGGGCTATGCTTTGCGCTACGTTGATTGTTGTGCTGTTCAAAGCATGTATTCCAAAGTTGAAATTTGAAAGGATGGCTAGTCGGCCCAACTTCTAAGTTACTAAGTCACGCCCATTGCTATCCCAGCCGGTCGCTGTCGCAGTTGGTTTTCCTTACAACTGCCCTTTTTGGTGGCCAGAGTTTTGCGTTGGGCGTTGTTGAATGGTTTCCTTTGGTCGCCTGGTCAACCACTACCACCCGGAATCTCTGCTTTCTCAGGTCGGCGGATCCGGACGAGGACCCTCGGCAGTTCTGCAAGCTGGAGCCGCATGAGCTGGAGCGTCTCCGGCCTGTTTTGGGGAGGGCGTTGTTCCGTGGGACGATGGGCTGGTGGGAGGTGGGGGGAGCAGTTTATGGCCAGACTCTAGTTGCAAGGTCGCAAAGCTGGCCTAGAAAGCGGAGATCAAGACGTGCCCAAGATCCAGTGAATGGATCACCACTGAGATTTCACAGAGAAAAGGTTTCCGATCTCAGAATGCTGAAGTGAATTGATGCTTCCATTTGGTCTCAAGGCAAAGAATCCGCAAGCTACAAAGGGCCATTAGCATAAGAAGTCCACGGAATTCATTTGGCCGCATGGCAGATGGTAGCTTCCTGACAAATCCAGGGTGGACCAAGCGTGAGGCAAGGAATGTTTCCGGAGTTCTCAGGCTAAATAGGGCAGGTGCATGCCAAACTCGTCCACTGGCCTTTGCAACGCCCTTTCAAAGCACTTGTAACTATCAAGATTCTTGGCAAGTCCTTGCAAACCCTATTTAAGCTGATCGTGCTTTGCCGGCATGTTCCCTGATTCTTTCGGGCGAGAGGGCACCAGTCCACTTCTACAAGCAATTAGTACCTCCATTCTAGACTCCCACATATCGCATCAGCAACTCGATCAACTTCGCATGTATGGACATGTGCAAACAATGACTCACAGCATTGCCATTGCCAATTTTTCCTTCGCGGAGCCCTATATAGGCCATGCATGCATGCATGCCAAAAAAGCGCCTCATCCGACGCAACTCACTATCAAGAGGCTGGTCTGAAATTCGATATAGTTGGGCATTTGATCAGCAGTTAGCAGGTTCATTGCACAAAGCAGGCGCAGATCGTAGCTCAGATCGCTTTGCCAGCCTCTTGCTCGAGCCTTTGGCTTTGCCATATGGTGCAGCCGCATGGGGTGTATTGGCCGTAAGACACAGGTGTCAGTCACGTGATTTCCCGAGGCAATTTCAAACAGCTTTCCAGGAAGGTCCCATCCACAAGACAGGCGCATGTACATTTGGATTCCTTCGCTGAACCCGAGCAGACCCCAGCTTCTGACGGGGTCGCCATACGCCAACAACTGCTGATCCGCAGACAAGTGTGGATGTGTCAAGATTGGGGGGCCCCGAAATTTGTCGTATTAATGATGGCTGCCTCTGAGGAACCATCCCCAAGTGGTCCCTAGCTTTGACCAATGGAACAAACCCAAAGCAGTCAGCCACCGTTTTCCAATGGGCGCCTTTCCGAGCTCGGGCTCGGTGCTGCAACCGTTTTTGCAGCTTGGCAAACAAAGGTTTCGAAGCGACGCCCAGACGAATCCACCCATGTACTTCTCCTCTTTGGAACAAACCCCTATAGCAACTGACATGTCTTACATACAGCTCTCCCTTTGTTCCAGGGGAGGGGCATGATGCCTCGATTCACTGGTTTCTTCTCTGCGCAGTTGCGCTGTGGCACCTTTTTTTTGTGGAAGGGGGTGTAGGAGGCCCTACAAGTTCAACCAAGCACAAGTCCCCGCAAATTCAAAGCCTCCTTCCAAAATGGCCAGATGCGCATAAGCTATGGCTCTATTTTGGGGTGGATGCACATCCATTTGCCGCCTAATTTTAATGTTCACCAGGGGTACAGGGTTTTGACCCACAGCCAAATCGCCGGTTTTCCCTGTTGTTTGCCACAGGCCGGAAGATGAGCCGCAGCACAGCAGCCTGGCGCGGGGCTTCCGGGACGCCGCCAAGGTGTTTTCCCACGAGAACAAGGAGAACTCCCGAGCCTACGCCGCTCGCCAATGTGGCTGAGTGGGGAAGCGGGGGAAGGGGCAAGCACAGCCCAGTCATCCCAGACACCTGCAATATGACTTGAAGGGCAACAATGCCCCTTCTGCTTTTGCCTAGGGTTGTTCTTCAAAAGAAGGCTCAAGCTTGTTTTTCATTTTCCAGGTTGAAACCACCCGGCCTGTGGCTTAGGTGCAGGTCATCTGCGCCAGTGGTCTGCTGGTGGGTTTGCTGACCTGGGTGATCCAGCGAAGCGCCGTCCGTCTGGGAGCCTTGCGCACCACGCTGGGAGGCGGGACTGCGGGGGCGGGGGAGGGGGGGGGCGGGGTGGGGAGGCATGCAGGAGGCTTAACCTGGCCAACCCTCTCAAAATCGGGAGCAAAAGGCGCAGCAAGAAGAGAGATGAAATCGAAAGATGCGGAAGGAGGAGACAACTGCAAGAAGAAGGGAGGCAGCAGGAACATGGACACCCAAAGTGATTGCAATTGATCCTGGCTTTTGTCGTTCGAAATAGCCCCATCAGCTGAGTCATACATACATTGCTTTGGGGCTGATAGGCCACGATTCTTCAGAGGCCTTATTTGGTGCAGGATGTGCATTGACACGGTGTGACTCATGCTTGCACAGTTGAGAGGCCATCGACGGCAAGATGGATATTGTAACAAGGAACAACTGACGAAGAAAGGTGCTGTTTGCCAGGCTAGCATGCGGAAACAACAGATGCTTGATGCAGCCCAACTTGTGCGCGGGATGTGAAGGTCGAGGAGATTGTATTTTGAATGATCGTTTTTCATTACGTTATTTGTGATATGACTTGAGCCCGGGCTGTCAATGATTATCGTCCATCGGGTAAGGCTTGGGGGAAATGGTTTGCCAAGGGCAGCAGAGGTGATCTACGGCTAGCACTGTTTGGCATGGTTCATCAGCTGGCTAAGATGGTGGCAGTTTGCATCAGCAAACCGGGGCTGTGGCCTTGCTCTCTCTGGAGTGGTTGTTGTATGCTTCTTCTGTAGGTTGATTGTAGGATGCAGTTGTTGCTTCAACTGGTTTGTTTGTGCTTGTGCCACATGCGTGAAACGCGCGCTGGCTTGCGATTATGCCCAATGATTTCATGTAATCAGGCTTCCAATGAATAAGGATGACATAACCTGCCACTGGAAGACTTCAATGAGTGTTCTGGATGATATTCCGTTTAGGGCAACCTGTTTTTACCGGCTCATGGCCAGGTAACGAGAGCATTTGGCTGGCCATGGCCTTCAATGTTTGCCTGGTTGTGCTGGCTCGTCTCATCGTGAGACGCAGCGAGGCTGCGCAGGGCAGCGGACACTTGGGCAAGAGAAAACATCTCACAAAACAGGGGGGGGGTGCAACCCAACTATCTGGGTGGGGCAAAATAGGGTTTAAACACCACCTTTACACGGGAACAATCATCATAACAAGTGGTTTAAACAGTTTAAATCAATGGGTGGCCCCACCCTACCAACTATTAAAAGGAATCACGTTCCCTTTGTGAATTCCCAGTACCTTTTTGTTGGTTTACGGCTGCGAAACATTCACGCTGCCGGGCGGGTGCCCGTGGGGCGTGACAGTCTGACAGATTCTAGGTGCGTTCCAGACATCACAGGGCATACTGGGACCTTACTGATTGAGGTACTAGGTGGTGGCTCATGTTCGGCTTTCGGAGTATTTGGTTTGGCCATCGCTTGTTTCTTGGTCATCACGGTTTTACACCAGGCATCACATTCAGCTTAACAAATGCTTTTGGGCAATGAGGCGCGAGATCATCGGAATATCCAGACAGCACCTTTGATCACCAGATCACTTTGGTCTGCGCTTCTTGTAGTCTGGCTGATCAAAGGTGCTGTCTGGATATTCCGATGACCTCGCGCCTCATTGACCAAAAGCATTTGCTAAGCTGAAAGTGATACTGGGTGTAAAACCGTGATGACCAAGAAACAAGCGATGGCCCAAAAAAACACATACTGGATGAATGTTGATCCTTGCCGAGGCTACCCGCAAATGAAGGCCATGTTCTTCGGCAACACCAGCCTGATGACAGAAACCTTAGGCGTGCTGCAGTGTTCGGCGCCAGGAGCTTGAGGTTAACTTGGGGACAGGCAGACATGTGCGACTTGTTGCCAAGCGTGGAATGTGGCAGGTTAGAATTATCCATTGGATATCCCCATGGACAATGGTTTTCAGCGTCCGATTTGGGTAGACGAACATGTTGGAGTATCACTGTCCGGCCCGACCTCTATTTGTAGATCAGGGGAGGACAGTATGGAAGGGATGCTGGAGTTCCACCTGTTGGATTATTTCAAAGTAAGCTTCCCTTGTTGAAACCGCAGCCTTCGCCTGGCTTCCGCGCAGGGAAGCCGAACCTGGAGTTCTTGTCCGCGAAAACTTTGGTTCAGAAGGCTTCAGCGCTGATGTTGATGGTGGCGTCCGGCCTGCCCATAGGCAGGGAGCTGAGGTCGACTGAGGTGTTATTTCCATGTGCTCAGTCAGAAGTGGATGGGATCCACGGGTGGTTTGGGTTTAGATCGCTTACCGGAAGTATCGATGTTCAAAAGGACATCTAGGTTCCATGCCCTGTGCCGCATTTGCTTTGCATGGCGGTTTGCAGACCCAGGGGTTGTGTGTGTGTGTGTGTTAAGAATGTCCACCTATGATGAGTAACAACCCCGGGATTCAAGCTAAGCCCGCCCCGAAAAGCAATTGCCCCTAAACAAAGTTAAGCTTTTGTCCCGAAGTATTCGTTTGACCATGCCCGACCCCTATTTGTTGGACCCTGTCCGGAAGCCGACAAACAACGCAATTTCTGGGTGTCCATTTTACGACGATTCCTTTGTTCAAATCCTACTCAACAAGCATCGCAAAACAATACCCTTAAATAAAGCTGAGGGTGTGTTGCCTCTAAAAAGAGATGTTTTTTTTTTGTTCTTTCATTTTTTCCCCTGTTGATCTCAATCTTTGGTGCCATTGCCAGCTTCCCCGTATGATGGCAGCCAAACATCAAAATATTGGAGTCCAGTTTCATCATGATTTCTTTTTGTGAAGCCTTGTCAATTTAACATAACAACACAATGAGAAAGGGTAGCCAAATGTCATTTGCATTAAGCGAACCATGCCCTAAATGAAGCTAATGATCTGGGTTGCTTCCTTGACATGCATCCCAATTTCAATACAGAAAATAGTTCAATCGTATAATTGCCCCTTTTGAAGAGTACTGCCAAACTTCCTGGAATTTGACTGCAGTACAATTGCCTGACTTCCTGCATTCCGACCGGACAACACTTGCTGCGCTCCGGTGCTCAGGTCAGGAGGGCCCCAATGTCCATATGGCTGCCTGCATCTCCCGACACATCAGGCCCCAGTTCTTTGAGAAGAACTTGCGCCTTGGCGTTGGCAACGCCCATGGTGTGGGGTCAGCTATGGTGTGGGGGGGGGGGGGGCGTGCCAACTGTGCGTTTCTGCCATCAGAAGGACGGCAATGGATTTGAAAGTCGTGGAGGGCAAGCTGGAACACGGAGTATAACTTTTCTGAACATGGGTATGTAGTGGAAGCCCTGTCAGACTGCATCCACAGGAAAGACATGCATTTAGCCCTTGTACATTTTTTGCAGTGGTATGCCACGTTTTCCCTTGTATTGCTTTTGTGGGGTTGAAACCCATGTTGGATTCCGTCAAGCAAATAGGGCACAGTGTATATTTCTGCAGTGGCTACATGATTCAATCCCCAAAACCACCAGTCCAAACCACCAGAGAGAGGGAAGACCTGCCATGGACTTGTGTGCCTCCGCTATGTCAGTAGTGCCCTTTTACCCCCTTTTTTTGGGGAGGGTTCCCCTAAATCAGAGGGGAAAATCATGGGGTATTATTCCAGCCTCTCTGGAGGACCTCCGGTTTCCCTGGGGTCGCTTCAGGAAGCGGGAGCTGGTGGTTCAGATCCTCCACGCCGCCTGCGCCTCCGGGGTGGCAGCCACCTTCTCGTCGCTGCTGGGCGGCGTGCTGCTGAGCCTGGAGCGGGTGGGTGGAACCGGGGGCGCGGCTGACGGGGGGGGGTGGTCCATTGGACCTCAAAAAGGCCCCCTTTTTGAGGGACCAATATGTTTTTGGGCGGTTTGTCTGTCATATCAAGGGCTCCAGGATATGCCTCCCTCTCATGTATATGGGTGTGTCAGTTTTGATGGTACCCCCTTGTTTGGTGGTTTGGAAGGGAAGCCCATTGTTGCTGTTTTTTTTTTGGGGGGGGCGCGTTTGCTTGGCTTCTTTTAGGAGCTGATG